CCCCCCCCCCTCTCTCGTTTGTTGTTTAACCAGGACACACGAGAAGGAGTTCCACTGAAGACACAACAGCGCGACGTTCACCACAGGCAGGACGCAGTTGGAGCGGCCAATCTTGCCAACCATGTTCTACGATAGTACTGGTACACTTGGTTAGACTGCGACGTTGCTTGTTACGCTATAATAGCAGGGAACGACGTTTTTGTGCGTCGCGCGTGGGTCGGAACTGGCCCCGCCTCGATGTATTAGAAGTTCGCAAACGCGAAGTTAGGATTTCAGTTGCTCGGTTTTGTTGTCAGGTTGTTGTTGTCGTGGGTGGTCAGTGTTGATTTATCTTCCTTGCTACGCAGAGGATGATGGGATTGAACATGTCCCATTTCGGCTGTCCTGCAGTTTGCCTTTACAGTACAGTATTTTCTTGTTCGGCCTCTCCTCTTTCTGCAGATTTTCGACTAGGTTAGTATGCATGCGTGCCCACCGTCGGCGCGAATTTGGTCAGATCTCTATATATATATATATGTGCCATACGCAATACCAAGAGTTTAGCTGGCTCTGAAGAGGATTCAATTTGCTTCGGGTGTGACTCTCAGGGTGCGCATCAAATGACGGATGGCGCATGGGTCTCGAAGGCTTTCATTCTCCGCAAGTAAATCTCTAGCATGCTTCGTGTTGTTGTGGTTGGTGCTCTTGGTGGTGTTTCAGCTTGTGGTAGATGATACAACTGACTGCGCGTCAGCAATGCAATTATTTTACAATGAATTCACGTGCAGTCGACGACCTGATAAAAGCTTGGGTCAAGGCACGAACGCACCACAATACTTCCCGAAACAGATCGCCCGTCGGCGTCTCTGCTACTGTAGCGTAACCCGAGTCCACCAACAGTTGTACAGCTCGAAGACAGCCGCTGAAACCCCAAGATAGACACTTGGTGTACTCTTATGAACCGCAGGGTGTGCAAACGCAAATACATATCACAGCTGCTGCTGTAGCTTTCCGGTGTACGAATCCTCCAGGAGTGGGAAAACCAGTTGGCTCCTGCTCCTTATGTATTTTGTAAGGGATATCAGGGCGTGCCTATTGTTTTTAGCACATAATCCGGTGTTCGACTTTAGTGCTCTGATAGAACTAGATGCTTGAGAGCCTTTTGTGATGGCGAGTCAAAAAATGACGGGCTGTGGTGCACCGTTCGTGCTGCTGTATATCAAAGCTCGCGGGTCGAGATGAAAGGATCAAATTACTGTGGACCGAACTTCATCCGACATCCGGCTATAATTCGGGTACAGTAGAGGTCCCTGTTTAGTGCCGGTTGATTAGCCGGTTGCCGGTATAATGCCGGTCAAATCTCGGCGCACAGAACCCGCCCCGAATAGTGCAAGACCGGCACTATTCAGGGCTGCCCACTATAGTGCCGGTTCCCTCTGAACCCCACAATAGTACCGGTTCAAGCACGCACGCACACACAACACACAAGAGACACGATACGACCGGTCGCCCCGGTGGTCTAGTGGGTAGTCTCGCAGCCTGCTAAGGGCCAGGTCATTGGTTCTAGTCCCGGCAGAGAGAGGTTTTTTTCTCACTAAGTAAATCTTGGTCTAGGATGAAAGCGACGCGCTGCAAACCTCGTTTGTTAGTAAACCATAATCGACTTCGTAAGTCGCGAGTGAAGAAGGGATTGCTGTACCCTTCTCGCGATAAAAATACCTCAGGCATGAACCGCAGGAGGGGGTCCAACCCCCCCCTCCTATGTGACCCCGGTTGGGTCGTCTAGCTAGTAGAAGTGGAGGATAGGGGCCAGAGGGGCAGACGACAGAGTCCAATGATGGGAGAAAAACAAAACAACAAAAAACACACAACACAGACGACAGACACAGAGGATAGGGTACGTGTGCTTCCTCCTTCACCAATAGGTTGTGCCAGCAGGAGCTTCGCAAAAGTGTTACCGCCAAAAATCCATGGGTTTCATGATCAGTAGTTCGACAGGGCAGGAACCACCCCTATCGTGGCACTCTAGTCTGCCCGCGACGCCCATGCCACGATGCGTAGGGATTTTCAGACCCTGAATAGTGCCCCTTTGGCACTATTCAGGCACTCTGAAGAATAGTGCCGGTGCCCGGTATAGTGCCAGTGAAATTTTTGCGCGCACCCCGGCACTAAACAGGGACCTCCACTGTACTGCTGTTGTTGCTGGTGCGCTGGTACCGGTTCGGATGACCTCCTTCGGGTAAAATTTCGCCGCTTCGAACCACACAAAAACGCCGCTCGAACCAAAACTTCTCACATCTCGGCTCTGCTCTGCGCTTGCCGCGTGCACCCCAGCACTTCAGCACTCAGCACCCCAGGCGCTCACTGCTCGTGTCTTGCGCTATGGCTGGTCCGGATATCAAGTGGACGGCTGGTCCTGGACCGGCCCCGCTGCCATACTCAAAGCGGGCGAGAGAAGCAATGGGTGTCACCGACGACGTAAGGTTATGGCATTGTCGAAGCGAAGCAGCGCACTCTATAGCAGACTGCTGTCGAGATATAGGCTATGCTAAAGAGCTTTGTAGCACGCAGTGCACGCCCAGCGACATTCTACGGTTGGTTGTGCTGGTGTTGGTGGTGGCAGGATCTGTCTAGAAGCATTACCATCATGTTGTATCAATTTTGGTACAGCGTGCAGCAGTATCGCATGGTGGAGGTATGCAGGGAAGACAGCGGTAGACACAGCAGTCCCAGCTAATCCGTACGTTCTCGAGCAGAGCATCATGGGCCTCGAAGTTTGGTAACCTTCTCGAAATGCGTGCCCTTGAGGTCTTGACGTGCTTACGCGTCAACTTGGGGAGCTGGGAATTCCGTTTTTGAAGAGCGTTTCCAAGATTATGGCTACCGTAGTTGTTCCTAGACGGCATTTCGTACGGTTAACGCCTAGACTTGAGGAAGTACAGCAGTAGTTATCGTCTCTTTGTTACTATAAAATTCTATGCATAAAGTTAGCGCCCGCAATTAAGAAATATGTTAAGAAATAATAGAGGCGTACTTTTCCACAAAAATAAGAAAATAGGGTTAATTAACATAGCTCAGTCTGGGTCACACAATATGAAATGTCTCAACTACATTAATTAGAGAGGGGTTACGGGGGAGAGTGTCGAATAAGAAACACCCCACAGCTCCTCCTATCTCTCGCTCTTTCCCCCTCTCCCACTTCCCCCCCCCTCCCATAGTGCATTATGAGTTGTACGACGAGGGGGGAGTGTGTTTGTTTTGCGGCGCCCCCTCCGGCTCCTTGCCGACTCAGGCGCTCTCTGGCGCTCCGGCTCTGGCACAGCACACCAGACAGGCTGCGAACCACGATATGCTGTCTGCTGTACGGTTTTGATGGTGCTCTCCGCCAACTCTCGTGAGGGCAAATCACATGTTTATTTTGAACGTTGCGTAATGTAGTAAGCAAGCAGAGAAAATAAGAAACTTGTCGATGTAAGAAATTCAGCAGGATTTGGCGGCACGAACAAATAAGAAACTTGACATAAGAAATTGAACGACATACCCTGAGTATTTAGTCCACAACAAGAATTCGAGGCTAGACCTGAAATAAGCGTTTGTTAATTGCAGGCGCTAACTGTATCACAACGGTCACTCTCTTTCCTTCCATCGGTTCTCAGACTGCATCACAAACAGTCAGAGATTTCCTGCATGACTACTGCTGCAAACCACTATACATTATTGCGTCTTGGAACAATCTGCCTGTGTGGTGTGTAGTGCCACAACCGCTGCGGCGAGTGATGCACCATGATCACGTGCGTTGTTGCATCTCATGCGCAGGATAAACCGTGGGCGCACCCAGATCCACCGGCGGCGGAAAGCTGGGGGTTCGGCGGCGGCGGCGGGGGTGACGCTCTCAGAGAGGGAAGCCTTCGGACCAACTTGTTCCTGATCGTTCTCTCGATCATCTTCGCTATCTGGGTATACCGAAAGGTCGTGAAGAGAGATCACTCTCCCTTTTTCCACGTCTCCCCAACACCGTCGCAGTCGGAGGACGTGAAGGTGAGAGGTCTGGGAGGATGTAGGTTGTCCACGAAATCATTCACAAGGTGAACAGCGAGCGATAGATGCGGCGTTATGCCTGTTCTTTTCTGAGTTGAGACGCATCTCTCTTCATTTACGAGATGGGAGGCGCTTCCTGGCCAGGAATTTTTTGAGGTCTCTCGCTTTCTCTGATTGAAGAGGCGAGAGGAGTTGTTGGTGCGTCTGGTTGGTCAAGCGTATCCCTGCTGTAGCATATCAGGGTCAGTGAACACCTTGCAGACGCCCACCTGTGCCGATCTCCGCCAATCGGCTCAGGCAACCGAGGTTTGCAGTTTTGCGAATACTGTTCAATATTTTCCCAAGTATGTGAAAGTAGCGGCTGGCTGTCCTTGGTTCTAGAAAAAATCGGCCGCAAAAGCCCATCAGCTCAGAGGTATGCATATGAGCATGTGTTTGTATTTTCAAACTGGCCACCATCCATTTGTCGCATGTACACTCGGTCGATTCCACCCACCGGTCGCCCCGGTGGTCTAGTGGTATCCTCGTAATCCGCTAGTTGCAGAGGTCGTGAGTTCGAAGCCCCCATGGGGTGAAAAATTGATGAAATGTGCGGGTGAAAACGAAATATAGCTGACAAGCTCTCGTGAGTACCAAACTTCGACGTTAGCACCGTTGACGAGGGAAAGGGACGGCTGGACCCTTCTCGCGATAAAATAAAATTCAGCACGCACCGCAGGAGGTAGGTGGGGCATGAAAATAAATATAAAGCAGAAACAAGGCCTGGTGCTTACCCCCTCCTGTGTGACCCTGGATGGTTGTAGTTGTACGAAAAATACACTGAAAAGTGTAGTACTCTACATACGCTGAAAAGTGTAGTACACGACTCACCACGAACAATGGGGGGACTGTCGCCATAATAAATAGGACGAAAACAACAAAACACAACACCCACATCAAACATCGGTGTGCGGCAGGTGTCGGAGGTGGACATGCGAACAGCGAGAGAGGCCAGACTGAAACGGTTCCAGGAAACGAAAACCTCGTACGCTGACATGATGAAGGAGGCGGCAGGGGGATGGTCTCCTGCCGAGGAAGTTCAAAACGATTATGATGGCGGGAATTCTGTGGCGGCGGAAGGGCAGGGATGTTCGGATGGGCTGCGACGTAGAGGAGGGGGCGACCAAGCAACAACAGGCTGAGAGTGTCTTTGGAAATCCCTTGGAGCTCTTTGGAATTGTACACGTAGTGTAGAGTGTTGTGTGGTAGTATGTGGTATCGTATGGGTGGCTTCGGCAACAAGCGGATATAATCCATAATACAACCATTTGAGACTGGTTATCTGTATGACCACCGGCAGGGTAATGATGCAAACGCCACGTGGCGTTTGCTCACTTTCTAGTAGCTTTGCGACGCGCCAACTGGCCCGGTGTAGCTCTTAACACGCACACGCCGTCGTACAAGTATTGCAAGCCACTTTCTGTCCAATAACTTGTTCATGTCCGAGACGTCTATCCCCAGGGGGTTGCACAGCAGTGGAAAGAAGTTCACACACCAGTTGACCGGGTTGTGGATTAGTTGTGTGCCTTGACGACCCGGAGGGATGAAACTGATTCGCATCCTCTTCTACGATGATTGAAAGATCGACCAAAGATACCTGCCATTGGTACGGTAATTCGATATCGCCCCTTTCGTCGGCCGCATGTACTGTCATGTATCCCGTTCATCACATACGGGTTTGCTCTTTCGTCGCTATCGAGTCCAGCACCAAAAAACATGCCAGGGTGCGGGAGACCACCACGGGAGGAAGATTATGGCGGCTTTAGAATCGCTCGTCGTTTTCCCAATTGGTTCCGTCTACAATATAATCTGGGTCTTGCTTTTCCTTATATTTAGACCGTCATCGGTGCATTTTAAGTTGAGCGGAGCATTTTTGGGGCCGGTCCTAGAGCGATGCATGGTCGGGCGGGTGCCGTGTTCTGCCTATTTCACCCAGAGGCGATGGACTTCTCTGCCGACTTCGTCCGCTTCCCGTACAGCAAGTGCTGGTATACACTTTCCCTCTTGCGTGAGGGAGTATTGTGTTGACGACTGTTTTTTTTTATGTGGATGAATCCTTATCCTGTCCAACCTGACACACACAATCCATGACCATGGAGTGCGTCAAAACAAGGTACCCACCCAATCTTGGCGGATAGTAGATCTACCTTCGAGCAAGAGTCAAACCCGACCAACATGCGCAAGCCCTGATTCTCCCACCATTGCAGATATATCGGCGCGAGGCGATGACCGGGCCTGCGGCTGCAGTTATCCTTACCCTACCTTCTTCTTCTCAGGCGCGTGTTTGGTCATCCATTGATTGGCGAATGATGTCGGAGCCAAGTCCACGCATTAGCCGTTGTGGGCATGCACGCGTGTAGGCGGACTGGTCCCTCCTCGCCTCGCCCTTCCCCGCCCTGTGCTGCATTTCAAGATGTTTTCGGTTGAGGTGACCGTTCGCACCAACCCAAGTACTCCATCTCCGGTGTCTACGTAGCATAGTTGGCAGTATTTTCCAGCCGAAAGTCCTGCGTGAAATAGGTCTATCTAAATGGCAGTTTTTTTTGTTGGTCCGTGCTGTATAGCAGCTTTGAAATTTACGTACGCACTTCAGTATCTGGTTGCTTGATCGGACAAGTGTAGGGCATGTCGATACAGCAACGCCGAGGAAGGACCTCCCGGTGGAGATGAATTGTCACAGGGCGTGTTTTACAGTGGGTGCTGACACGTTCAGAGGTTCGACTGGCGGCGTGAATGAACGTGTTGTTCGTGACATCAGATCTCAACTCACTCCCTGGAGCTCGATCACCGCATTACAGCAGAAGACTCCGCGAGGCAGAAAGAGCGGTGGAACCGAAAATGGTGGTGCTTGTTGGAACCACTTCGTCGAGAACTTTCCGACAACAAATCGTTTGATTTATACATGCTCTTCGTGGAGTAATCAATCATCGGTCTCAAAAATCAGTCCAAGGGGTGTGATATCTTACGTCATCATGCGCACCATTCTTCTGCATCAGCTCTCTCTACGGCAGCGTTCTACAACAAAATAGCCCCTATCGAACCTGTGGCTTGCCCAAATTCTAGGATACACACTTTGCACGCCATGAGTGCCAATGGGTATATCGTGTGGGGCAAGAAGGCCCTCTGGGTTGGTTGATGATGTGGAATCCTGAAATGCGTCCAGATCTCACGCCGTTCCGGGGCTCCTTGGAAACAGCTCGGCATCTCTACAACACATACATGCAGCTGAGTACGAGAGACGTCACGGCCTACTACACCCCTATGGCTGAAGGGTGGCTGATCTACCTCACGCACTCTTTCTCCCCCACGCGTCCCCTTGCCGGGTAAGGCGTGTACCTATGCGTGCTGTACCACGCTAATGCTGATCTTCGATTGCTCAGATCTACGACATTCGGGGACCGGCCGATCTACGACGCCCCGGTGCCGTATTGTCCCGCATATTTTTCGGCGCGGGAAATCATCACGCCGACCCGAAGTCCGTGCACGGATCTCAAACCACCACACCCCATGCTAACGTTCATCCTGATTGTGCTGCTCTCGCTGCCCAGCACACAATCGTTCCTCGCTCCGCCCGCCCGTATTGCAGCCCCGTCTCGTCGCACCTCAAAGCATCCAATGGCTCCGCCGCAAAGCGAAGCTAGCGTAGATGCCCAGGCGCTCGAGATCATCGCCGAGCTCAAGGCGGGAACAAAGACCATGTGAGTCGTGGTGTTGGTGTGGTACTCTTTGTCTTCTCAGGGTGCTCTGTTCTACTTGGTTGAAGATGTGGCTCTATTGAACTTTGGTGCTGGCCGTTCCCTTGTCATGTACTGAGTCACCGCATTTCTCCGGAACACCCCGTCACAGCAGCAGAGCTACATGTCACACATTAACAATTGCTGCACATGTCAGCAGGTCTACCTCGCTGTCTCTCTTTTTTATGTGGAGCGATGTGAAGACGAGACACAAGCAGTGTCACGCCCTGCGCCGTTTGCCTCTTCACGGGTTTTCACTGTTGTACCGGTCCTGATTAGTTTGGTGGATATGTGTGGGGAAGCCCCAAGGACAGGTGTTGCACTGCATGTACCAGACACGAGCGAGGGAGGAACCCATCGTTGTTGTTGTTTCGGATTTGGTGACCCAGGCTTCTGCTGTACAGCATGTACAATATTCCATCCTTTTGTGCCGTAGATAGGTGCGTCAGATACCACCCCCTCTGGACCGGATTATCAAATCTCGATTACTGCCGCGGGTGACGAAGAGGACATGCACCAGAATCAAACCATGCGTGTCCGGAAAGCCCTCGACGACTCGAGACGGCTCCAACGCCAACACTGGCGGCACCATTAACATCACCATCACTATTTTTCGAATGCTGGAGAGCAATCGAGTGTGTGTGGCGTCTCAGGCAACCAACAGCAGTACGGCGGTTTACCGCGAAGTTGGTGCCCAAGTACGCAGGCGAAGGACCCGTTCGATTTCCGTTTCGTGTGCGGTGCTCAAAGGCTGGGCTGGGCGTGGGGCTGAGCATGAGTACCTGATTCATGCTCGGGTAGCTCTTGTTCCCCCTGGCATCTTCACGTCTTCACGTCTGAAATTAGTGTACTTATGCCATGCGTAAGAGGCATCAGGGCACCAATACACAATTTACATCATTATCCTAGGCTGCGATAACTCCGATAGGTGCGATCCTGAAAACAATACGCAGCGGCCTTACGTTGGTGCTATATATGTACATTATGCTGTATGCGGGAACCTCGATGGTGCGATGACACCGATAGTTGCGATACTGAAGAAAAACATCACAGCGGTGTATGTGGTACCGGCACTTCACCCGTTACAGCATTCGGCACCGGGCGGGTACGTGTCCATTCGTATTTGCCTATTGTAATGGTCACACGGTGATATTATTGGTGTCCTTTTCTGGGACAACATTTGCGTGATCTGAAGCTAGAGGTGGAATTTGTTGTTACATACGAGAAAGGTAAGCACATCGCTCGGAGCAAAGCCGTATCCAAATCGCTCGCTCTTGTCGCTCCTGGATTCTGCAGGCCGCTTCGGCCTTCTAGTTGCGAGCACACAAGGGCATACTCTAACACATGCCGTCCATGCGGCCAACCCGCCACCCCAGAGGTGGCAATGTCTTTTCTGTCGAGCTCGTGTCACCGTTTCCCTCCCCGAAGCTGTCGGTCGCCTCAAACACAAATAGCGGTGGATGGTGTGATTGACTTTCAGACGAGGTCGAACTGCCATCTCGCATCTCGCCCAACCTGACCCTTCCTCCTTCACCCCTCGACTGCCCCCATGCGTCTTCCCGTCGCACGCTCTCGTGACTGATAACGACAACAACAACAACAACAACAACAACAACAACAACACCAGCGCGGATCTCCTTGGTCCCCTTACGGGTACCAAGGACATGACCCCTGCCATCAACATCAGGCCCGGCTCGAAGGACCCGGTTCCCGCCGCCCCGCAGGCGGAGTTCCTCCCCAAGGACGACTACAACGTCAAGCTCGTGAACAACGTCGGCCCTACTGACTACGTCAACCCGGAGCCGCTTGAGAAGTATGACCTGGTGAGAGAACACTCTCACCAACACCATGACTTGCTGCTGGGCTTACAAGGGCCCCCGACTGCTTTTAGGCTGAGCGAAGCGTTACTACGTTGTGCTGCTTGAGCGATTTTCCTTCTTGCTCTGGCTTGCGGAGAACGAGAAAGTTACTCCCGGCTCAGGCGCGGCTGGCACCCTGAGCGCTGCCGTACATACTCCATTTTGCGGTGCCTTCACAAGGCTTGGTTTCTCACAAACGTTTTCCACGTGCTTGCCTTGCTGATGCTGCCACTGGTATGGTGCCGGTTGTGGTGGTGCTGGTGGTGCTGTTGCTGCTGTTGATCGAACACGGCGAAGGTGGTGATTGGCTCAGGTGCAGCGGGGTTACTGAGCGTGATCATTGCGAACGGGCTGGGCAAGACTTGCGCCCTGGTGGAGCAGCACGCCATGGGCGGCGACTGCCTGAACGTGGGCTGCGTGCCTTCCAAGGTAAACTTTAACTTTGCCGTCCGTGCCGCACGGAAGGACGAAATCGGCACACAGACTTATGATATGGAGAGACGTATTTGCTACATCACGCCCTAGAACAACCTCGCTAGAGCGAAAATAGATTAGAAACGAGGGATGGGCCTCGGGTCGGGATAGCAGGAAGAAGCCTATTGGGTGTACCGTAAACCATTCCATGTTTGTCTTTTGACATGACACGAGGGAAGAACACGGGAAGAATATTGGCTATTTCTATCTCGTGTGCGGTACATATATTGACCGAAAGGCCTGGACCTTGAGAAAAGGTATTTACTAGGGTCTTGGCGCACCGATACCTCGACGTTATTGGCACCGTACTTGCTTCCGAGGCATGTATATCAATGCAAAGGTTTTCGCGCCAAACCAATGACGGTCATACCTTCGAACAACTCTTCTTCGCTCTCCTCAACCTTACTGGTTGCCGTGTTTGTTCGCTTTTTGCAGCTGTCGCAGCAGAAGCTCCATATGCCCGCCCTACCAGTCGTGTTTGCACACGCCACATGGGGTTTTCCGATTTTCAAGCTTGAAATAACTACATCTGACCACTTTTGAATTGAACACGCTGTTGTGTAGGCGCTGATCGCGTGCGCGACCAGACTGCATGAGGTGCAAAACTCGGCCGAGTTTGGGGTGGAGATCAAGGGTGAAGTCGGAGTGGACTTTGGCAAGGTGATGAAGAGGATGCGCCGGGTACGCTCCGACATCTCGGAGGTGAGAAGGCCTCAGATTGACAACACCACATCTGTTCTTCGTCGTTCTCTCTAGGACTTCGCACGTTCCTGTTGCCCGTCGTGCCAATGAGATCTTGCAGATGCACGCACGGGAGAGATCTTATCACTTGATGGAGTGCTGTCTTTGTTTTTTCCTTCGAATAGATAAGCTTGTGTCATCTTCGTGTGTTTGTATGTGCGATGACAACGCCGTGGGCGTTTCATGGGCGCGGATATACAAGGCACGTCGTGTGCTGGTGCCTGCACGTCGACTGTTCCTCCCATCCTGTACCCCATGTTTTCGACGATGTTTTCTGTGGCAAATTCGAGTCCAATTTTTTTCTCTCCTCTTGTATATCAGATAATCCATTTCACCGCTGTGTCTTGCTGCCTTGGTTCGTCACTGTTGTTTTGGGTGATCTGCAGCACGACTCCGTCGCCCGCTACTCCCGAGACTTCGTCAAGCACATCTTCCTTGGACGGGGAGTGTTTACGTCTGCGGACACGATCGAGGTTGCCGGAAAGAAGCTCAAGTTCGACAAGGTCTGCTGGTCGTCGTATCATGATATACGTAGCAGGATAAGTCTAGGCTTGAAGATCTGACAGTACGGTAAACTTGTTTGGTGAATATTGTGAAACTTGTTTGTGCTCGAAGGAGCCACTCGCGCTCTGCCGCAAACCCGTGTGCATGGTAGACACGTGAGCACGTGGGTCTAGAGTAGCAGTATTTGCTCGACAGTATGATCACAGGACTCTTCCTTCATGTCCGTCCGCTTTCCACCATACACTTTTCAACTGGAGACTCGCTGCCTGAAACAAACAAATGATTGGGGGCCTCGACTAACGCATCTTCCTCGCGCACGTTCGTTTTGTCATCACAACAACTCGCGCAGGCCATGGTGGCCACGGGAGCTTCCGCGGCAGTCCCCCCAGTTCCCGGTCTGAACGACACGCCTCACCTTACGAACTCCAACTTCTGGAACCTGGAAGAGTTGCCACCGAGGATGGGCGTGATCGGGGCAGGGCCGATCGGCCTGGAGATGTCCCAAGCAATGCAGCGCTTCGGTTGCAAGGTGTGTGCGGGGATTCTGAGCCGTTGCCGCCTGAAGGGAAAACATGCTCTTTCACGGTTTCAGCTGGCGGTGCCCCCTCCCCCGGTGGCGTGTTGGCAGAGTCAAGAATGTGCTTCCTTTTATGTGCTGCTGATGTCATCGCCTTTTTTGTCATGTTGGCGCCGGCCGTGGTCTCGAAGTGTAGGCTACGGTGCTTGGTGCTTGGTGTGGTTCTTGTTGCAAGCGCAAGCGTCTTCGCGGGTGGTAATTTGGCGTTCTTTCGGTTGCGAGATGGGTGACGAAAACCCGAGCACGGTGTGGTTGCAAGCATTTTAAACCGAAATGCTTGACGTTGCTCTATTTTTGTGAAGGTGTTTGTCGGGGGAAATTCTGTTCAAAGGTAGGTGTCTCTTGAATTCCCCAACGCCGCAGGGAGGCTTGCTTGTTCTCTATCTCCTATAATCCTAACAATCAGTAGGTTGAGCTGATTGCTATCCACGTGAAGAAGTGACCGAGGTGAACTATTTATATATATTTTCTCGCCACTATCGGCTCATATGTTTAATTCTTGTGAAATCTGGTTGTCTGTGCTGCCTGCCGCAGGTGACCTGCTTCGAGTACGCCGATCAGCTTTTGCCCAGGGAGGACCCTGATGCGGCCAAGTGTCTGGAGGGAGCACTGCTCGAAGACGGGCTTGACATCAGGCTAGGTGCGTCTCCCCGGTGTGGGGTCGTTAGTCTTTCCTCGATTTTCAAGCTTTACCGTGCCTTGAGAACGGCTTCAAGCGTGCGGAATCGTTTGTACCTGCAAGGTTGAGTGTGAGATTGAGACATGTACGTAGACGACTCCATTCCCAACAGTATTAGTTTTGTTCGATATCCTCGCCGTTGCGCTGTTCAATTTCCGCTCCTCCGTGTCTGGTTTTGTTCACAAGCGCATGGCTGCCGCTTCTTCCCGCCGCTGTGTCCTAGACATGAAACTTGGCCATTCAGCCATTCAATACGAGGACAACGCCCCCATTTTGGCGGTTGCTACATGCGTAAAGCAAACTCTCCTGTAGAGTTCATGGCGATACAGCAGTAAAGTTGGAGCGTGTCGGCGGTAGATGTGGTAATATCCTCTCGGGTGTACCGTACGTACCGTACCAAGGTAGCGTCTTCCAAGCGAACCTTGCGTGGGAAATGGGCACAGAGCGAGTGACCCACACCATAGACAGAACGAAGAGCATGTTTTTATGGCCGCAGTTTTTTTTTTGTCGTTTTGTTGCTGATGAGGTGCATACTGTTTTGCATGCATCTACCGTACCACATGCCTGCAGGCGCTCGCATCAAGCGTGTCGAGTGTGACGAGGGCGGAGGGCAGTTCAAAGCCCCGTTCAAGGCCTACCGGGTCATCCTCGACAAGAACGGAGGTATTTGCAGCATCTCGACAACTCGAGAACACTTTGACTGTGACGGTAATGGTTGGAGAGATGGTGGTGGGTGTAGTCGTAACGGTATGAGGTTTCACGTGGGCGTTGTTACAGTAGGGGATTCCCATGTTTTTCCGTTTTGGCTTTTTTCTTGTCTTTTTCGTCTTGTGTTCTTGACAGCCGCCGATGGTGGTCGAACCCATGCAATCAATCGATGGAAATAGTTGAGACGATGCAGGCCATCAATAGGCTTAATTGGAGCCACAATATATGGGTGGACGGAGATGCTGCAGTGGCAATCCATGCTTCGAAGACATGCTTCCTTGGTCGACCGGGATACCATACAGGAATGCTTCCAAGTTCAGGCAATGAATCGAACTTGGTGCTTCTATCGCATGTCGCCCCTGACTAAAAGGAGTGCAGGACATTGAGACTTGGCGGTCATATCCTCCCCTTTGTCCTGACGACTAAATAAGCAACGTGTCTTACAACTTCAAGTATCTGCTTGCATCGGTCTCGTTCGCTCGTTTCTTGTCGCCTTGTCCATCTACCGCTGCTGCAGCTGCTGGTGCCAATAGCTGGCTCCGATTGTTATTCTTCCTGTTGTATGCATTTTGACGCTGGTATGCACCATCACCCTCGTTGCCTTTTCTTCCCGAGTTGCAGAGGAGGAGGTGTACGAGTGCGACTGCCTCCTTAACGCCACGGGCCGCGTGCCGAATGTCTTCGGAGTGGGGCTCGACGATGCCGGCGTGGACTACAACAACCGACAAGGGGTGGTGATCGACGACTACTTCAGGTGGGTCGGGCTTATCGGCTAAGCATACACTCGCAGGTAGCCTGTGAGGATAGGACCTCATGCAGGGGGAAAGAGTAGCGGAAGGGCAGCGGTGGGATACGTTGGCTGTGAGCAGATGGGGACGTGGTTGTGTCAGGCTCTTTTCGGGGCCTTCAAGGGTTTGTTTCCCGCTCATGACACTGAGCAACGTAGCCAACGTTTGCTTGCTGTTCCCTGCGTGCCGTTTCGTGCCAAAGGGCATCACACGATGCCGGGGCCAGCGTCATGCTACTGGCAAATACGTACACACCTCCCTCGTTGTCCTCCGACATGGTCACGTGTGATCTACCTTCAGGTCTACCTCTGGGTCCCGTGTTGGGTACCAGTATATATGATGAGCGGAATCGTAACCGTTCACACTTCTCCCGCATCTTGCTGATATCTATTCTTGGCCTTGACAGGACGACGTCCCCGAACATCTACGCGTGCGGAGATTGCGCATCTCCGTACAAGTTCACCCACGCCGCTGACTGGCAGGTAAGAAACGAGCGAAAGTACCCACCCCCCGTTAATGCACGCCACGGGGACCCTACGTTAGCACACGTCTTGCGGTACGCATCTAGTCCTTCCATCTGCTTGATATTTTTTTCTATTTATATTTATTTAGTTCGTTGCATGTTCATTGGATTTTCCGCGCTCATGTACTTCCTTTCCCTGCCAAGAGGACCATGTCTCGTATGTATGCGAAGCTCGTGCTCCATGATTCGGTGTTTCGTGGCTCCTGTAATGGAGGCGAATCAATCGCTTTGGTTATTCAACTCCCGGAAAATTTGGAACCGAATGACAACAATGATCAGGCGCGCGTGGCGATCCGGAACATGTTCCTGGGCGACAAGAACAAACAGTCTGACCTGCTGGTGCCGTGGTGCACCTATACGGAGCCCGAGGTGGCTCACGTTGGCAAGTACGAGGCGGAACTCAAGGAAAACGGCGTGGAGTTCGAGTCCTACATGGTGCGTGCTGGACGAATTTTCCGTTGCTTTTGCTCGTGCTTTTTTGTTATCCACCCTGGCGAACCAGAACGGACATCAGCAGGTACTGAGCGGAGACCGGAGCTGATATTTTGAATGTGAAGACACCACCAGCATCAACCCTGGCCAACCGTGAAGCACGGGGCGCTTGATACGCTGGAGAGCTAAATCGACGCCGTCCTTCCTCCCCCCGGCAGTAGCAGCAGCCACGATATGTTCACATGTTGAACGTGTCCTGAGAACGTTCGAGGCGCTCCCATGGTATCCGCAATGAGGAGGGCGGCCCCGCATGGTGCTTTGCATTGTACTTGACCTGATTGGGCCACATGCACTTGAGAGTAAAATGAGCGAGCTCAACACAACGAAACTCAGGGCGCAAGGGAATACCAAGTATGCACGGAAAGTGGTGGTGTTCGGCAGTAAGGAAACGGCGCGTGGCACGGAGGAAGTTACATGGACGGAAGGAAGAGGCGCTCCCATGGTATCCGCAATGAGGAGGGCGGCCCCGCATGGTGCTTTGCATTGTACTTGACCTGATTGGGCCACATGCACTTGAGAGTAAAATGAGCGAGCTCAACACAACGAAACTCAGGGCGCAAGGGAATACCAAGTATGCACGGAAAGTGGTGGTGTTCGGCAGTAAGGAAACGGCGCGTGGCACGGAGGAAGTTACATGGACGGAAGGAAGAGGCGCTCCCATGGTATCCGCAATGAGGAGGGCGGCCCCGCATGGTGCTTTGCATTGTACTTGACCTGATTGGGCCACATGCACTTGAGAGTAAAATGAGCGAGCTCAACACAACGAAACTCAGGGCGCAAGGGAATACCAAGTATGCACGGAAAGTGGTGGTGTTCGGCAGTAAGGAAACGGCGCGTGGCACGGAGGAGGTTACATGGATGGAAGGAAGCCTGCCTTTGAATCGTGCAGAAGACACGTCGACCGTGCTCTCGTCTAGTCTTGGTCGTCGCGGCTCAGCTTTGGTGCCGCACGGTGGATGCTTGTGCTGGAAATCATGCTGGCGACGGTGATCACAGCACCAGCCTCCTGCCAGCACTATTTTTCGTGTGCCAATCCTCGGTTACGCTGCTGTGTGCACCACATGAAGCTTGACATCCTTCTCAACTTTTGTTGATATTTGGAAGCTCTTGTTGTGTTTTGTGATACACAGCGCCAGCTGAAGGACGTCGACCGCGCCAAGTGTGAGGGCATCACGAAGGGGTTCGCCAAGATCACCGTCGAGAAGGGCTCTAACGGCAGGATTCTTGGCGCTACCGTGGTGGGCCCGAACGCCGGAAGCATGATCTCGGAGCTCACCATTTGCATCCAGGTGTGACAAGAAACAGCGGTGGATGCTGTGCATTAACACCAGCATCAGTGCATTTTTATAACGGCATAAGCGTAAGTAGATGGATTCGTTTCCAAGGCCTCGGTATCAGCTATGGCTGATGCACGGTATTTCATAACAATTAGTCGACATCCCCGGAAGAAAGCTCAACTGTTCTTGTAATCCAAGTTATCCGTGTTTGGGAGTGGTTGTGTTGGCCTCATTATCCGCGGCCAATGATCTGTTGAATCCTTGAACCAAGCCATCCTCTTCGACGTCTCGTGGAATCCTTGCCGTTGTTTGCCACTTCCCTGGCCAGAACAACGTTTCGATGGGCCAGCTGGCAGGTACGATCCACCCTTACCCGACGGCGGCGGAGTGCATCCGGCAGGCCGCGAACCTGTACATCAAGACCTACCGCACGCCTGCGGTCAACAAAGCTCTCGACATCATCATGGCTGAGCAGTCTTGAGTTAACACCCGTGAACGATAGGTTGGGCGCCTTCTCCCCTGTGTTCTTGAGCACGTGAACCGCGGACGACTACAATGGGATGCAAAAATATGCTTGTGTTTCTTGTGTAGTTTCCCTAGGTGCCTCGTTGAACCATTCGGTGTTTGTCTTCATCGATGTCTACGAATCATTGCTGCTGTGGCACGGTTCGAAAGAGAAAAGTGGTCTGTGTGGACGTTGGGCCACCCGTGGCATCGGTATTCCACGACCGTGCCAGTTGTTTTGGATGTGGGTCGGCTTTCCTTTGGGTGGTGAGGCTGTTGGACCTAAAATCGCCATCGGCGATGACTCTATCTAGCTAGCTAGCGCTTGTCCCCATTCTCCAGCGGTGTGTCATTCTTTCACACACGGTTGGGCGCAAGGCAGGGCGAGATTGCTGGAACGGGAATGTTGGCGCAACCAGCAAGAGTGGTTGGTGTAGTTTGATCCATGTCCGGTGACGTGCTGGGCGTACGGAGGTGCTTTTTCGAAAATGACGGCTCAGCACCACAAATATGCGTCTTACTCTTGTGTGGTGGCTGTGGTATGAACTCGTTTCTTGGGCACCGCGAAACTTTGGCGTTATTGCTTGGTTTATGGCGCCTAGAGGAGATGCCCTCTTTTCAGCGCTCGTGGGGCTTGGAATTATTGTCTTCTCCAAGCGAAGATACACTTAGTAGTAGATAGTCTAGTGGGCGTATCAACAACCAAGCTGTGTCACCGGGGTTGATGGATTGCCATTGGTGAGGATGTTGCGGGCTTCCTACCGAGCCGTGAAGAAAATTGATTGCGAAGTTTGAGCTTTGGTAAGCTTGTGTTACGAGCATCAACGTGGAAACAGTTATTTGCGGGAGGTCGTTCAGCAGGGACTTCAGTAGACTGCAGTTGGGGAAGGCATTTTCGTGAATGAGCGGGAAGTGTGGTTACTGCGTATCGTTCCGCAGAACCACAACCACCAATTAATAGGGGGAACCATGGTACCATGTTCTTGAGTGCTGTGTGTTGTACGAGCTGGCGGCTGGCAGGCTAGACCGAGCGAGATGCGGCGAGGCTGTCCGCTGGCAAACAACGACGCGATGCGGCGGAGCTCCGCAGAAACATTTCTGGAGCTGAATGTGGTCGTGTTCAGCAACAAGTTAATACCGATAGCCCCAACACCTTCAACCTTTTCACTTGGGTCACCACTCAAAAACGCCAACCATAACGTCGTTTCCGGGTGCGTGTACCTCCCCTCGAGCGAACGTCCGGTTCCACTTCTCCTTCTCTCCCTCTTCGTTCCCTCCCCCTGTCCTCTTCCCGTTACCCCGATCCCTACCCCCCTTCCCCTCTCTTCCTCACTGTCGAACTCCCCTCTTTGCTGAATATCGAGTCTCCTTCTACTGCACGCCTTGAACGTTTTTGGCAACAGTCTTGCGCTGCAGCAGCTTGGGCTAGGCCTGCGACGCCCCCTGCGGGTGGCCTGATGTTGCTCTTTCTTCCTCTCGTCGGTGTGGTACGCGGTACAGCGTACAGGCGGCAAGCGCGCACGGCTGGGGGTAGGAAGTTGCACATTTAGCTCCCCTAGGGGACACGGTGCTCCTTCGTTAGATACTAGTTAGTGTGGTGTTGTAGGCGGGGGGGATGGTCATTTCGTACCCCCTCCCCACCAGTAGGTGTGCAAAAACGTTTTTCGCATACCCTTGCGGGAACAGTGGACACTTTTTCCCTACCGCTGTGCAGTCTGCGAGCGAGCCTCGTGTGCGATTGATGGGGAAGGGTGTGTGCGAGATTTGTGGTGCATTCTGCAATGGGAATGTTAGGGGGTTACATTGGGTCCACTCGGCTTTTCGCAATGAGAGACTTCGTGTCCGCCAAGCTGCGGCACTATTGAGACTAGAGACGTGAAAACGTTACAACAGCAGTGAACCTGACAGGATCTCTTTCAATCAACCAAAAAGAGAGGAAGTACAGATACGGCACGGCCAAATCGTGGTCATGCTATCTATTGACGCGCTTGCATTCACCCCCCCCCTTCTAGACATAAGTGGATTGGCGCTGTTGGCAAAGCGCTGTAAAACACGCCACCACAAACAAAGCCCCCATAGTATGCGCTACCAAAGACGCGTGACGCATGGACGAGTGGAGTGAGGACAGCCGTTTACGGAAACCTCACAGGTTGAGCAATGTATGAGATTGCCGGACACATAGGCGTGTTGAGTGATTAAGCTGTATACTGAAACCCCAAGTTTTGAGATTGCCAGACACATGGACGGGTTGAGTGGGGATAGCTGCGTATGTCGGTAAACTCGTGGCTTCTGGGGAAAAGATGTTGTATTAATGAGACCTTGGACCAGGAGAACAGGTCAAAAGGTAGAGTGAGCAAGGGTGGGGCGAGCACCACAGCACCACAGCACCACCCGTCGCTCGACCAACGCACGAAAGCAGAACACAATACCGGAACACAATAATATCGGAACACAACGACTCAACAGGGGCTACCGTACTTATCAACGTACCATAAATCCTCGGGGTGATGCACTATCCACGAAGAACATTCCTACAGAACGTTCCTCGCTGTTCTGATAATATGTGGCTACTCGGCAGTCTGCAACGCCGACAGTCCCGCAATTCAAAACTGTCCAATCAAATTGTGCTACGTTACTCTGTCGACACACACAGCAGCAACTTATCACGAACACCCTCCCTTGGGGCTGTTGTCTTCGATCAGAAAATATATATAAAAAACAAAACAAAACACGACTCAGACCCCTACTTCTCAGATCTCGAGCCTAAAGCAAAATTACGATGAACTTCAAAAAGATCTCTCGGCAGAGCCTTCGTCAGGATATCCGCATGCTGTCCTTCGCTAGAGACATGACTGATTTCCAACACTCCCTCCTCTGTCAAATTCCTAAGGAAGTGATGCCTCACATCAATGTGCTTACTGTTACACGAACTAAGTGGATTCTCAGCAAGTGCAATCGCACCCTCGTTGTCCTCGCGTANCCTAGAGCAAAATTACGATGAACTTCAAAAAGATCTCTCGGCAGAGCCTTCGTCAGGATATCCGCATGCTGTCCTTCGCTAGAGACATGACTGATTTCCAACACTCCCTCCTCTGTCAAATTCCTAAGGAAGTGATGCCTCACATCAATGTGCTTACTGTTACACGAACTAAGTGGATTCTCAGCAAGTGCAATCGCACCCTCGTTGTCCTCGCGTACCTGGATCTTACCAAGCTTCTCACTAGGCCTCAAGAACTCAAGCATTCCGTTGACAAACAGAACCTCTTTTACACCGTCACCCATCGCAACATACTCTGCTTCAGTTGTTGAAAGTGTGACACATTTCTGCGTCCTAGAAATCCAAGCGACAAGACAGTCAGCTACAAGAACTAGTGCTCCCGAAACTGATCTACGGTCAGTGGCCTTACTGGCGAAGTCTGCGTCTACGTACACCAACGTGCCTACGTCTACCATAGTGTCCTGCTTGTACTTCAAAGTTAGATGTGCCGTCTCCAGAAGATAATTCAGAATCTTCTGGGCCGCCTTCCAGTGGCTTCTCTTNTCCAAGCGACAAGACAGTCAGCTACAAGAACTAGTTCTCCCGAAACTGATCCACGGTCAGTGGCCTTACTGACGAAGTCTGCGTCTACGTACACCAACGTGCCTACGTCTACCATAGTGTCCTGCTTGTACTTCAAAGTTAGATGTGCCGTCTCCAGAAGATAATTCAGAATCTTCTGGGCCGCCTTCCAGTGGCTTCTCTTTGGCTCGTGAGAATGCCTCGCCACCGCCCGCACAGCATTAGAGATGTCGGGCCTCGTCTGGTTGGCGATCCACATCAGGCTCCCCACCACCTCTCGAAACGGCACATCTCCTGCCCCCTCATCCTCCATCACGGACCTGTAATCGTTAGCAGGGGAAGCAGGGATCGAGCTGGTGCGACAGACATTGAATCTCTCGAGAA